ACATTAACAAATTATTTTGAAAGAAAACCATAATTAAGGACAACATTTTTTAACAATGAAATGTTAAAAATAAGAATGTGATGAAGAAAAAAGTTAAGGATATAAGTATAATAATAATAAAAAAAGATTAATGATATTTAATGTAATTAAAATATGATGTAAATTAAAGGTGGAAAAACATTGATGTCATATCAATTATAAAAAGAATATGAAACACTAAACTCAGTTTTAAAAAAATAAAAAAAGAAGAAGAAGAACTCTTTCATTTCTTTTTCATCCCTTCCATAACTAAATCCTCACTCATTGCTATTCTATTTGTTCATATTTCACTTCAAAATCAAAACACAATACAAGCATCTCATGAACCGTTACTAGACTCCTACATTTCAACATTTGTATTCGTAAGAATATTTTCGCTTTCATGCATTTCGTTAGCCCGTTTGACCCCATTATCCCAAAAATTTATTATTCTCTATCTTATTTTTAACAACATAATCTTCTATAAAATAATATTACTTTTTGATGACATTGTCATGTACTTAGTTTCTACTACGATTTGTGATTTTTTCTTGCAAACGTTTGAAAAGAAAGTGCCATTTTTTATTCTCTACTTTATTATCTTTCTTTCAGGGAGATGGCTTAATGCTTGTACTATCAATATAGGGGCCAACTTAAATGCTTGTTGTGTAGTACTATAGAGTAGTGATTCAACATAGATGTTGTGCTCTTGAAGTGACAAAGGATGGTGTCACAATGGCAAAGAGCATGAGATGTCACGGGTAAGATGTCACTAGCAATCGGAAGTTTGCATACTAGAGATCAAATATTGGTTGTTTGTAAAGTAAATATATGACGATTCATCTTAATATAAAGTTCTATGTTAAGTTCATAGTTAGAGAGTTGTGGAATTTATGAAGATAGTCAAGAATTTGCTTGAATCCTCTTACCTTGAAAGATGTTGTAGAGCAATTTATAATAGAAATTCAAGATCAAGATCAACATCGAGAAGAGTGATTAGATAAATTGATCAGAGATCTTGATGATCAAGTATTATATTAGATAAGAGGGCAAAGGTCAAAAGGCAAGAGAGTAAGAAAAAAAAAGAATAACAAATGGGCAGGAAGTTAGCTTGGAGGGATTATTTCTCAAAGTGCAAGTATTGATAATTATCTCGACAATAAATTGAAAGCTGTTCCCGTTCTATCACAACATTAAATATGTGAAGTACTCCATCAAAATGCGTCACTTACATTACATCACACATGTCAAAGTGTCACGGGCAGCAGCTTCACTTCAGCCCCGGGCCGCTATCGCAGCCGCTGCACTTCGGCTGCGCCTAGTAAATATTTCATTTAATTGTTATAT